AGGCATTGAGTAAATAGTGGGGAGAAGAGGAAAAAAATTGGGATTGCTAAAGAAGAAAGGAGCTGTTTTTTCTTGATATTAATCCAGAATGAGGAGCAGGGTTTAGAGCTGGCTCAGGAAGGCAGAGTTACCTGTGCTCTGCTCCTGGCAGAGGGAACACATACAAGTTATTGGGATATAATATTCTCACTGATTAGGTAATAGCATGGCAAAGCAAGGAAAATATTTTATGGCAAACTTAAATAGCAGTGGATTCAGGTTCAGCAGGACAGGGGATTAAGAGAAGGGACTTCATCTGGTCAGGGTAGATAGTGGCCATTAACCTGTCCTCTGGAGGATGTGCTGAGCCTGAATAACAGGAGTGTATTTGTGTGTGTGTATGAGTTTCCCTAGCTTGTTTTTCTAATCTATTGTAGTCTCAAGCAATTCTTAAATTGTGGCTTCCTTCTTCCTTGCCTCACTCCCTCCCCCATCTGTTTTCCTTTAGTCTGCTTATGGGCTTATAAGTAGGAAATAGAATTAATCAACTGCTTACGCTATATGTGAAAAGGTGACATACCTAAATCTAATTATGCAGGAGAAGTTAATGAATGCCACCTCACTGGTGCATTGCCATCAGCAATGCCCACCCTGTTTTCTTTGCATTTCTTACAGGGCCTGCAGTGTAGGCAGGAGAGGGGAAAACTATTCCATTCTAAATGCTGTAAAATATAAATACTGTAAAATTAGACAGCCATATATTTTACTTTTCCTGGTAGCAAATTTGCAGGAAAGCAAGTGATATAAAATAATAATACTGTAATAAACCATCTCATCTATTGTTGTGAATTTAGAGTGCTCAAACTTAGATAAGATCTGTACTAATTAGAATGCTGCAGCCAAACCTTCCCTGCTACTGGTACAACACTGATAAATCCCAATGCAAATTTGTAAAAAAAGTGTTGATTCATTTCTTAAGTGCATCTTTTTTAAGCCATGCAGTTTTTTGGAAGTGTACTGGGATTTCTTTTGAAGCACATCTTGACTTTTAATAAATATATCAAAAGTACTTTAAAATATATCATAGCTAATTCTGCTCTCCCACAAATCCATCACTTTTTATTGCCTTTTAACTAATTCACCCTTTTCCACAGCCGAGAGGAAATGGTTTAAATCTCTTGATGGTATGTTTTTCTTTCAATTTTTCTGGTTGTAAATGTTTAGGGGGGAAAAATCACCTAATATATCACTGTTAAAAGAAAGGACAGAAATGTGTTCCTCGTGGCACCTTGGCTAACTGGACTGTAATATATCCAAAGATACCAGGTAAAAGGGCAATGCTGGGGCAGCTCACAGTGCACCAAGGTGATTTAGGAAATGGCTGGCTGATTCCTGGGATGGAGAGGTGCAGGACTAAAATCCAGCCCTGACAAAACCCTGGGATCTCACCTGGACTTTGTTTGCATTGCAATCTCTTGCATTTCTGCTGTTTCCTGTGAGCACTTCTGGGCTGTTTGTGCAGGAAGAGAAATACCTGCAAGTCCAAGTGAGGTGCTTGGACCTTTAATTGCATTCAGTTAATGCTTGGCAAGTGTCCTATGATTTGCAAAAATCATCTGTTCCTTAATCCTCTTCAGTGCCAAGGGTTATTAGGAAGGGACTGCAAAGAAGATGAGAAATTGGAACGTTTGTATGTTGTGGAATGAATGAGAGAATCCTCAAGTGGCTTAAGAATGATTGGAGTTTTTCTTTTAACCTGTGGTAACATTTGGATTATCAAAACAAGTGTTATAAAAATTGAAGATGACCTCTAGCTGAGCAATGCTTTCCCTTAAACCTTGGGAAAAAGCACAGAGAAATGACAGCAGGAGCTGACTGCTGCCCATTGCCACAGCACTGAGGTGGATGCACAGAGCTCTGCTGGGGTTTAAGACACAGTCTGAGTGAGTTTCTTTTCTCATATGCACACCTAAGATATGTCTCCAAGGCACATGTGTGAGATTTCCCACTTTTTGCTCTCTGAAAACTTTGCAATCTGTTGCACAGTTCACAAGGGGAGGAGGAAAAGCTTTATTTCATGGAAAGGAGCGAGGCAATGAGTTAAGAGCTGTCATTTTGGGCTTGCCATCCTTGCTCTTAGTGCCCAGGCCGAATAGCTGCAGGGTTTCTGGGCTGCTGCAAACAGCATTAGCAGCTGGCTCTGAGCTGTGATGGACAGCTGATAGGTGTTTCACAAATGAGCTGCTCTGCATTGATGCACTCTCTGTGAGCCCAGCTCCAGCGGCTGGGAGGATGTGTGTGAGAGGGGAAGGGAAAATGTCAGCAAGGCTGCTGGATGCACACGTTAATTTGCACTAATCTGTCTGGGAGGAGCTGTGCCTGCAGCTCTGCAGCCTGTGATGCACAGCGAGGAGCTGCCTTATCAGGCACGGAGCCACACGCTCCTGGCAGTGTTCCAGGGGCTTCTCATTGATCAAACAGGGGCTTGCACACAGGAAACAACTTTAAAGGGAGATATTGTATGCCAGGGAGCTTTAAAGTTACTCCTTTTCCCCGTAGTTATACAATTATGAATTCTGTAACGTGCACCGTGCTGCAGTACAATGACAGTAACACAATTTTGGTTCAGCTTGCAGATAAGATGTGGTGGGAGCTGAGATTTCCAGACTCAGACACGCTTTTGAGATATCACTGGGTTACCAAAGCTGCTTGATTTACGAGGAAGTTGGAGTAAAGCACGGGATACCTGGACTAATTACTGGAAGAAAGCAGCCTGAGGTGCTGATTAGCATCCAGCACCAGCTGGCAGGTGAGGAGGGAGCTCTCAGGGGGGATCAAAGGGCTGTGTTATCCATAGGGCTGTGTGTCCCTAAGGGCTGTGTTCCCTAAAGGGTGTGTTTCCTACAGGGCTGTGTGTCCCAAAGGGCTCTGTTATCTATATGGCTGTGTTCCCTAAAGCACGTGTTTCCTATAGGGCTGTGTGTCCCAAAGGGCTGTGTTATCTATAGGGCTGTGTTCCCTAAAGGGTGTGTTATATAAAGGGCTCTGTGTCCCAAAAGGCTCTGTGTATCCCAAAAGGCTGTGTGTGTCCAAAGGGCTGTGTTTCCTAGAAGTTTTTGTATCCCAAAGGGCTGTGTTCCCTAAAGGGTGTGTTATCTATAGGGCTGTGTGTCCCAAAGGGTGTGTTATCTACAGGGCTGTGTGTCCCAAAGGGCTGTGTTATATAAAGGGCTCTGTGTCCCACAGGGCTGTGTGTGTCCCAAAAGGCCGTGTGTATCCAAAGGGCTGTGTTTCCTAAAAGTTTTTGTGTCCCAAAGGGCTGTATTTCCTACACATCCTAAGTCAAGACAGAGCTGTTGAAGTAGTTGCACTTCCCCAGCTGCTTGGCTGTCCTCGGTTTGTCCGGAGGAAAGTTCCTCAAGCGCTTTCTGTCCAAAAAGTGAGGTTAAAAAACAAGCAGTCATTTCCTTTTAACTACAAAATAATTTTCCACCGTTACTTTTAAAATGACTGCAGCTTTGACTGGCTGGTAGAAATCAGAGGCCCATGCTTTATGCAGGAGGATTATTTATTTATTTTAAAAACAAAATCAAGGCTGTCTGCGATTTGGATCTAATTTCACATTTATTTTTCATAGTTTGTTTGCTTAGTAGCTCTGCAGTAAAGCAGTGATTAGTTAAATCAGTTATACATAAATTCAAAGACTTGGTCTTCATTTTAGATGTTCAGACTTAATTGGATTTAAATCAGATTAAAAAGTGACTTCTGAGGGAAAAATACCCCCAAGCATGCAAAGAGGGTTGCTTTTTTTAACTTATCACATAAATGGCAATAGAGATTTCTATCTTTATAACATTTATTCCCTCTTACAGCTTACAATTCTCTTTAACTTTTAAAGAAAATACTTATGTATTAAAATATTAGCAGGGCAGAGTAGGAGGAAGCCGCTGACATTTCTTTCTCAGACTACCCTGTTTTCTACTCCAGAGTATTTCCTTTAGATTGTAATGAAATTTAAAACCTAAATGTTATGAAAGGAGGTCATTCTATGATTTTGTTTAGCATATTAATTGCTGTGAAAATCACATATTAAAACCATGGAAAAGACTTGGTGTTCCTCAGGAGATGCCCGGCTAGATGTAGACAGCTTCTCCCTTGGGTTTGGGGACTGTCAGGGGTTTGATGCAGGCTGGGGCCATGAATGGAAAGAGGAATTTCTGGGTGATGAAGAGCAGGGTTGGGAGGGTTGGATGCAGATGGAGATGGTGCATTTTGAGTGCCATGGGAGTAGCTTGGCATAAACCAGAAGTAACATCTGTGAAGCCAGCAGACAAATATCCTTGCAAAGGAGCAGAGCACAACTCAGTTCCCACTGTCAAGCACAATTTATGATGTAGGTCAGTAGCATTCTGCTGCCTGGCCTTTTTCCTAAATTTTTGCATTTTTTGATAGGCATTTGGGCAAATGAGGCTCCTGCAGGGGCAGCTATCTGCAGCTCTGCAGCGTCTTCATGATGCAGACAATTGGGAGTTGATGCAGAGGAAGGTCCTTCACCACATGCAAGGCAGGGGAAGGCACAGCTTTGGGGGACAGAGCAGAGATTTGGATTCAGATAACTCCCCATCTGAAGTGATACAAGGCTGGGGAATTCAAGTTCTCTCCCCCAAAAGCTGTGTTTTCCAGGGGGTTGACAGAGGCAGAAGGAATAGCAACTGCTGGCTCCAAACGCCTCTGCTCATCTTTCCCATCAATTATTTACACAAGAAAGATTTACATGAAAATTAATAATTGAATTTTGAATTGCTGCTTTACATCAATAATGAAATAGTTGTGCCAAATACAAACAGATAAAGAGAACAGCATAAGAAACCATTGTTAATACACAAAAGGAAAAGTAATATTTTAATGAAACTATAAAGCTTATTACTGCTTTATGGCAGAGGGTTACTGTCAGTGACCTAGAACACACAGCTTTATATGCCAAAAGTGAAACCTCCTGTTTAATCTAAGTGATTTTGGCATATTAAAAGTGTAATCGTAAGTGGTTTTGGCATATTAAAAGTGTGAGCTGGATTCTGCTGGATTCCATAATCAAGTAATTTTTGGTATCAAAATAGGTTTAAAAAAAAATTTATTTTATTAGGTAAATTTTTACAGCTTTTAATACATGTTGTCTTTCAGGTGTGAACATCCAAAAGTATCATGGTAGACATGAAATTTCAATATTTTAACTATTTCAATATTATTTTATATTATTATATATTTACATTATTCAATACTATTTTTTTAAACCAATTTTGTCAGGTATATTTCTGGAGAAAAGAGGCTGAGTCTGAGACTTAGCCTACAAAAACCTATTCAGTTGTTAAATTCAAATGTTTGTCAATTGCCATAATTTTATCATTAAGGTAAAAATGCTGGGGTGAAGGCATTGGTGTGCTTCTTGAAATGCTGTAACTCAAACTTTAGCTTCTTTCTCCCCCACCCCAAGGTAAATTTCCAAGGCTTCTGTCCAGAAACAGGAATTTGGAAAGCATGGAGAATAAACAACCTGTAAGCATCAAAATCTGCAAGTAAGTAAAATGAGCTCATTATTTATTTGAGTAACATGATGTATGTGTTAGATATAGAATTTCTGAATGCTTGGTGATGAGAAAACTGCAAACTGAGTCAGATACAGCACTGACCTGGAAAGCACTGAGACCCTGCACTATATGTGATAAGTACAAGTGCTTTTCTAACTTTATTTACTTTTAACTTGCTGGTCAGTCCTTTCAAAATCTTCTGTGATAGAATCAGCTCCTAAAGTGTACTGTGGCCTACATCTATGAATTTAAAGAAAGGAAATGGTAAGCATGACAAAATAACTTTTATAATGTTTAAAGTTATGCACTGCTCTGCTCCTTGACCTGCTCCAGCTCCTTCACTTAAGGTTGTTTTCATTTTGATGTAGATTTCTCTTGCCATTTCCCTTCTGTGTTTCACCAGACTGCTACCTGAAGTGAATTTAGGGGGAAGACAAGCATAAAGTCAATTCCACTTGCTGTAATTCCCCAGATTTTAAAAGGGAAAGACGTTTATTTAATTTGCCTTGCAACCTATGAGCTCATGGGGTTCATTAATTTCTCAAGAAGTAAATAAGTTCCGCTGGTTTGTTCTCCAATTTATCACTTTTTGTCTGTTTCCATTTTAGCTGGTAACTCAACCTCTCCCTCTTGCTTTTGGTAGGGTGGGGCGTGGAAATGTTAGATTTAGAAGATAATCAGCCTGCGTTTTTATCTCTACTTAAAATAGTAGAATGGAAAATTATCTTATCTCCATAAATTGCTATTTTTTCACTTAGTCAATTATTTTATCACCCAAAGCAGATGCCACACAAAGAACCGTGGTTGGGAGGCATATAGTTATTTATCTCGGTCAAAGTGTCTCAGTTAAAAAGCTGTCAGTAGGAGATAATAATAATAATAAATACACATGGCATTTGGCTAGAAGAATACAAGATTATACTCAACAGAAACACATTTCTAAAAGAATAATTGTAGCTAATTAGAAATCTCCAGTTATGCTTAGAGTTGTAAGAAAGTGAAATCAAATTTAATTATGCAAGGTCCCAGTTGTGCCAAAGGTGTTATAAAAAATATCTTTATGGAGACATTCAGTATAACAAACTGGCTGCTGTTGTTATTAGCATGCTCAGTTGCACATTTTCTTAATATTAGTTTAAAGTTTAATGATGGTGTTTGTAGGACTAATTACCAAGAATCTGCACAGCACTCACTGGGATAGTCACCCAAAAGGCTCACATTTTTGCAATGTTATGTTATTGGTGGCTCCAGAATATCTTTGACTAAATCCTTTATATTCTGGTACTTAAAAGTGGATCTGTGATCGTGCCCACAGGTGCTTTGGGTGCACAAACAGTGAGTTAAACAGCTGCTCCCTCTGCGTGCTTGCAGGGGATTGCTGGCCAGCATCAGGGTTTGCTGGGATGAGTGCAGCACTGCTCTGGGACAAAGTCAGGGAAAGATTGGTTATCTTGGATGATAGGAAATGTGGGTAAAGAGGACACACAGTAGCCATACATGTTTTCTGACAACCAGTTGTCCAGGCGTGCTTAGGAGGAAAGCTTATTATTCATAGTAACTCCAGATAAAAACCTTAATACAGCTTTTAATACAGGCTGTCTATCAGGTGTGAACATCCAAAAGTATCATGGTAGACACAAAATTTCGATATTTTAATATTGCTTTTAATATTAACAGTGAAAATATCATGCATCTCCTCCCTGAAAGAAAGGATTTTGGCTGGGCAGAGCTAACAGTGAACCAAGGGCTTTTTCAGTAGCACTCACTGTGCCTTGAGCAGGGGAGTCATTCTGGCACCCAGTAAAAACAGATCTTAGGTACCCATGGAGGAGCAGTGATCATGAGAAACATGCTGTGATGTTAGAGGGATGTGGGAAGATTTGATGTAAAGGAACCCTGCTGATCTTGGAATTGACACAGAATCAGGAATGGGTTTTGGATGAGGCTGGGCAGTCCAAACCATTTCCCCCTTCTTTTCTGCCAGCTCAGTTCCCCACTTGCAGCCCCTCTGGAGGTGAAATGGGTAAATGAAGCTTTCAAATTCATGCAAGTCTTCCCAATGAATTTTTTCAAGCCCTGCAAGGTTAAGTCTTTTCTTCTCTGTTACAAGAGCATTTCTTTCCAAGAGCACCATTTTCCTCTCAGCCCCAGAGATTACTTTCCTGCCAGCAAAGACCCTCCTGGTCACCACCAGGTGGTTTTGTCCTTGAGCCAGCTGGCCTGACACACTGGGACCCTCTCTCTTCTTCCCCACCCACACAAGGCAAGCATCCCTATTCCCACAGCTCCTCTCCCCACAGGATCACAGTGAAAGAAGGAGAAAGGCTGGACACACCCAGATCCCTCCATCTTGCTCCCCTGAATCCCCATTCTAAAAACCCCAAAATCTACTCTTTCACCTTGTGGTAAATTCACTATCATTCTACTTAACTGTCATGGCTTGCAGATCTTCATCTAAGGTTGGTAACTTGCTCCACGGGTCATAATCAAAACCACAGGCGTTTTGGGCTCTGTGCCAGGGGCTCTGAGATCCCTATAAGGGGTCTGGGCTGCTCAGGACAGCCAGAGTGATGTCCTGGGTCCTGACAAGCTGGGGAGTGGCAGGAGGAACAGGAACACTGAGTTCCATGGCACTCACCTGACACGTGGCACTGAGCTCCTCTGCAGTGCTGCAGAGTGCAGCCAGGGCTGAGCACTTTGTTTTAGTGTCTGTGATCTCCATGCAGCTCAAAGGTGCCTCTCACAGTCTCTGTGGTCATGATGACTCTGAGATGTGTTGGTCTCTTTTCTTAGCTTGGCAGCTGAAGGAGGAGTCAGGATTCTTCTGTTCTGCTTTTCAAGGTTTATTTTATGTTTATCTGTACTATTCTTTCTCTGATCTGCTGAGGTCTCTCCAGCAGGTTGGGTTGAAGCACACTGACCACCTTCAGGGCAGTGTTATCTTTTTATACTAAAAATTACATGTACTTTATTTACAATAATGTTCCAATACTTATTACCTGTGTTAGACAGTCCGTCTCTACTCTAAACTAATCTAAAACTCTCAACATCACCTAGAAGATGGAGGTTAAGAAGAAGAAAGAAGGACAAGGCACGCCTAAAGCTCTCTATCTTGCCTTCTGAATTCTCATTTTAAAAACTCAAAATTCTCCTTTTCTATCTTGTAACAAACTATCATTCTGCTTAAACTTTGATGGTTTGTGAATCTTCATATAAGGTTGGCGATTGTTTTTTCTAAGGGCTAAAATCGAAGGCACAGGTGTTTGTGACTCTGTGCCCAGGTCTCTGAGCTCTCTGTTGGGGTCTCGAGTCCTCCAGGGCAAGCAGAGGAATTTCTTGGGTTCCCACAGGTACCTTAAAGAGGCAGGAGCTGTGCTGTGTGTCTCAGCTCTGTCATGTTCCTGGGCTTTGTGCTCAGGCAGGGGAGGCAGCCAGAGAAAGGCAGCACAGCACTCAAGGGTTTGTCCCAGTGGATCTGCAGGCACTACTGGAAAAGGAGTCATTCCTGCTACTGGCAACAACCTGGGATGGGATTCACCCCTCTCCACCTCAGACACCTGTGCTCTATATGCATTTGCAGCTGAACTGGGCACTCCAGGCTTCCCTTATCAGTTCATGGAAGTCATTATCTATTTTTAGGCATGAGTCACCTGTCCTATTTTAGCTCTCTATTTTAGTGCATGATGAATTGCATGATGTCCATTAACAATTCAGGAGAGAGTCTAATCCAAGTAGCTCAGATGTGGACCTCTTAATTGATTTATTTGGATCAGTTCTACCCCATCTGCCTAGGTGTTTAAAGCACTGGGTGTCTTCCAAGGCTGAAACTGAGGCAAACAGTGAGAGAGGCAGTGCAGAAAGGACTTCTGCTTTCTTTGCCCAGAGAGCAGCATATTTTCAGGTATGACTTTGGCAGCTGAGCACTTGAATTGGCTGTGGTCGTTTTGTACTGTCACAAGTACCATTGGTCCTTGTCTAGGAGCAGTTTGGTCTCCATCTGTACAAGCTCCATCTAGCCTGAAAAAGAAAAGGACTTGCAGTTGCCTTCCCGCTCAATATCTGCTGTTTTATGGGCAAATTCCTTCCCCTCCCTTGCCCTGTCCCACCCTCCTTTTCCTTATGGCTCTGTGTCTGGGCTGCCCTTGCTGCAGCCAGACCTGGCAATTCTCTGTAACTCCTCTCAGGCTGCTGACCTTCCCTACCTCTGGTATTTTTTGGGGTCCCCAGGAGAAAGGAGGAATTGAGAATCTGATTCCATGTTCTTAGAAGGCTAATTTATTATTTTATGCACTTACATTATATTAAAGCGTACTATACTAAAGAACAGGGAAAGTATATAGACAGAAGGTTACAAAGAATGATAATGAAAACTTGGGACTGCTTCCAGAGTCCCAACACAGCTGGATGGTGATTGGTCATTAAATAAAAACAATTCACATATTGGATAAACAATCTCCAGCCACATTCCAAAGCAGCAAAACAAGGGAGAAGCAAATAAGAGAATATTGTTTTCTTTTTTTTCTCTGAGGCTTCCCGGCTTCCCAGAAGAAATCCTGGAGAAGGGATTTTTCAGAAAATAAGACAGTGCCACTTACCCTTTGCTGAAACAAAGTTCTCTGGCACAGGTCTAATGATGTCATGAGCTCTGAGATCTGCCATTCCTAAACTCAGTCTGAGTACCTGTTCTAAACTGGAATATCTATGCACTTACACACAGAGGATGGGTTTCCTCTCTTGCCACCTAGCCCAGTGAATCCTGCCTGGACTGAGGACACTGAGTTACTCTTTGTTCTCTCACCATTTACATTTTGTTTCCAGGCTGTCATTCCAAGATGATAGATGATAATTTAATTCATAGCAGATGAACTTGGCCTGTGATGAATTGCAGAGGCTTTGGAAAAAGGGAGAATGTTGAACTTCATGGATAGGATTTCTTCTCTATGGGAGAAGTCCAGGGATGTGTAGGATGCAGAGGATCCACCTTGTGACACTGATAAGCACCAGTTCAGAGTATGTGTCCAGCTGTTACATCAGAGCACAGCAGTGATGCAAGCTTCCTGTTCCAGTGCAAGAGGATCCTGTAGGATCTCCTATAACAGGGAGTGCTGCTATGTTTCATGTCCCAGGACTCTGATTCTCAGTAATCCTTCTTGGTGTAAGGAGAAAAGAGCACACACAGTGGGTTTTTAGCTATATCAGTTACTGTACATCTAAAATGTGTCCTGATTCCAGAAGAATGTTAGATAGCATAAAATACATGAAATGCAAGTCATTTGGCACACTTAGGGAGCTCTGTCCTACAGTTCTCTCCCCTTCTGCCTCTCTTGTTCCTAATGAAACAGCTGCTTTTTGGTTTCAGGCTTTAACCTATTTTTGGAATCCTTTTATGCTGTTGGCCCTTTGAAATGCATGAATTGCTATGAAAGAAAGCCAGTGTCATTGCTGGGAGGCACAAGGAAGGCCTATAGGTGAGCTCATGTCTAGTGATGAGAGACTGTCTCACCTTTTCATCCCCTCCTTTATTTCTATAAAGCGACCCAGTTCCCCATGGCACATGGTTCTATGCCTTTTCTGCTTTTATTTAAGCATTACAATTGTGTCAGCCGCAACCCTTCATTAGCACAGCACCTGCAGGTAACTCCCTCCTTTGGGGGAATTGTTTTCCATATCTAGGCCCCTGTTCCCACTGCAGGAATGTGCTGGCCCAAAGTAGAAAAGGAGGTGGAGGAGCTTGGTTTCCAAGGAAAAAAGCTGGAGAACAGTGCAGAAAGAAGGAAGCTGTGAAGGAAATAGAGGGCAAGTGGAAGGTAGTATCTATTTATTGGACAAGAACCAAACCTTGTTTCTGTGAGTGGCTGTGCTCTCAGTGGGATGCCATTTTGCTACTGTGCAGCAGGATTCCACTGGAGGCTTGGCAAGTAGAGTATGCCATCATCTGAAGAGTCAGGTTATCCTCATGGCTGAGTGTCCTGGTTCAGGGCAAATTTTGGAGAGAACCCCGAAAGGGGCTCCTCTAGGAAAGCAGATTCATTTGGCCCTTCTCCCAACTAGTCTAGGAGAAACTACCTCCTTGGAGAAAAGTGGAAAAACCCTGTTTATTAAACAATAAAACCTAAACAATACTAAACACTAAAATCCCTTGCTGCTCCAAGAGAGATGACAGACTGAGAAAGTCTCTCCCCGGGGTGCAGCTCAGCTCCCTCAGGCTCTGCTCAGTCCCTCAGTGCTGGAAATGTCGCGGGCCCGGCCTGGCCTGGTGGGCCTCAGGTGCAGCTGCCGGTGCTGCCCTGGGTGTTCAGGCCAGAGCAGGTTAAACAGGGCCAAAGAAAACGGAAAAAACCCCACAGCCCAGGGAACTTCTTTGCCTCAGCTGGCTAAACTAACTAAAGCAAAGGAGAGCTCTGTCCTGCTGTCTGTCCATCCGCAGACAACACAGTCCAGGAGTAGGAATGTGGAGGAGTGAGTGCAGTGTCTGAAAACAAACTGCTGCTTCTTCCCTCCCCCTTCACTCTCTGGAACAAGGCTTAAAGGTTCAAAACTTATTATGCAGCATAAACAGAACAGAGGACTGGGGATAAAAGCATCATAAAGTCAACCCAGGACACTGAGGATGCAAATCCAGGATCACTGAGTTGGTGTACACTCCCATCTGCCCAGCACCAGCACAGGTGTGACTTTAAATGTGATTTAAATCATTGCATTGCTTCATTAGGTATTTACCATCTACAATTAATTAATTCAGCACTAAACTGTTGTCATTATAGTATAAGAGTTCCATTGTCAGTACATTGCAAGGGTTCCATATTGTTAGAATTTCATACCTCCTTGGTGTTTCTTGTAGGCAGCTGCTCCTCTAGGCACTGACTCCAGTTCCCACCAATCCACCCTTTTATAACACTCTTCTTATTGGCTACAAGTATGGCCTGTTAACATCAGCCTGCTCCTAAGCTTTAGTACTTGGTCCAGCTGCAACTCCTTAGGGGATAAGATTACATTCTATACCACCTTCATTTACCCATACTGTACTCCCTACACTAAACCAGCTTAAGCAGCAGCTCCTTCTGGGATTTGCACTTTGTAGGCTGGAGGCCTGTTTGTGTTCCAGCTGACACAAATGAGCATGCTGTGGTTAACTGAAGGTGTGAAGAATCATACCTCGTGTCTTGGTTGCAGAGTTAGCTACTTACTCCTTCCTTTTAAAGGCCAAGCTGAACTCAGCTCATTTTGGATGATTAAAAAAAGGAGTTTTTATTTTTGTTCTCTGGTTTCTGAGTTTTCTCCTGAAAAAATGTTTTTGATCTGATCAAACAATTTTGTCCTTTCCAGACAGACCTTTATTCTCACTGCTGCATCCATTTCTGCCTTGAGGCAGTGAAGAGAGCTCCTGTTTGCTCTGCATCCCTGCACAGTTCCACTGAAATTGAATCATCTCCAATGTATCTGCTAAACCCTGGCTAAAGACAAGAAGGTCTGAACACAGCAAGGTTTGGCTTTCTTCCTTATGGTTGAAAAATGTGGTTTGAATTCTGTTCTACAGAGAAGAGCCCTGCATGTAGTATTGCATAGATGGCAGATATCTGCCATTCCTCCCCTGCTCAAAATACAGTCACCTATTACACCTGTACACCTTGTGTTCTTAGGACACAGCAGGCCATGAAGTTTAGGAAGCACATTTTGTTAAACAGAGCATGGTTAAGGAGGTAGATGGTTGGGAAAAATAATTCTCACTAAGTTTGTAAGTATTAATTCCTATCTGTTGTTCCTGCCCTTATTTTTTTTTAGGAAAAAGTCAGGCATTTGCTTTCACATCATATTGCAGTTGAAAATACAGTGTTAAAATAGTGTTGGTTGTCTGGAAAGGATGGCCTAATGGAAGTGATGGATGGGAGCAGCTGGAGAGATAGTGAACATGTCTGTGACTTCTGAAATTAATAACCATGGTATAAAATAAGTTTTGTGGTTTTATAATCATGTATTTGACCCTGTCCCCAGCAGTAACTCTCCTTTGTGTCACACTTAAAGATGCTTCCATTTGGCTTTAACCTGTTGAAAAACGTGAAGGAGACCACAAAAACCAGCAAACCCCCAGGATTGTCCCACACAGCAAAGGACTGGGGCAGCACAGGACAGGAATGGGACAAGGCACCATCCCACACCAACCATATGTGTAAAATTGGAGGCAAAACAACAATAAAGACAACAAATAGTGGTGCTGCACTTCTTTGATGCCTCTTGGAGGCTGAATAAACCCATACTTGGTGTTGCCCTGCAACAAAATCCAGAGGAAAAGACCAGATCCTGCTCCTTCTAACAGTGTCAGAATAACTGCAACCAGTACAGAACCATTTTATAAAACCCCATCAGCTCCCAGTTTCAGTCCCCACTCTGTGTTTAATAGGTTTGCTCATCCTTTCAGAAAAATTTTGTTCTGGTGTGACTGTCAAAACCAATGGTGAGAGCAGAGCATCAGATGGAGTCCATGAACTTTGAGTCTGCCAGAATGCAAAATACCAGGTCCTCAGGTAAACTCTGGGCAGGTTAGGTAATAGCAGTGGTGTTGGCCTGATTGAAAATGTTATTTGAGCCTTTATTTAATAGTTTTCTTTCAGAGCAGGCTGCTTTTCATTACCATTTAAAATAGATATTACCACCATAGTTAATAACTTTCATGCTTTTTTTACCCTCCAGCAACTTTATTATTTATTCTTAAATTATAAATGTTCTGCTTTTCTCTGGCATGCCTTTTTTTTTATTCTTTTCCCTAGAACTCAGTAATGAAGTACCCAGGAGAAATTGTGGAAGGAAGAAGCAATGGAGCTGAGAGTGAGCACCAACCTGGTCAGCAGATCAGAAGTTATGTTCAGCTCCCAGCATCCTGCCTGTCAGCCTGGAATGCTGCTGGAAATTCCATGCAGTTGTGCTGCCTTCACAGCAAAGCCTCCAGCCAGATGAAATTTGTATGTGTGAGGAGTCTGTGCTGGGTGGAAACACCTGGAATACTGCAGGTACCTCTTGGTTGAAGAACAAGCATCCACAAATAAATGTAATTTTGAATTGTCCCATTGACTGACCAACAGCCCCTTTCCTGTTGGGGCTCAGCAGTGCTGCTCTTCCCTGCACAGACACCGTGTAGGCTGAAAATTAAATGAGAAGACAAAAAAATCACCTTAAACATACAGTGTTCCCTACAGGTTTGTGTTTATGCAACAGAGAGAGCCAAGGAGAAGATATGACCCATGTACTCTGGTTATAGAGCTATCATCTTATGGAAATTTAATGGTTTGGTAATCCTGGGTTCTCCTTTGGGACTCTGGCCTGTGTCTGTGTTGATATTTGAAGCTGCAGGAGCTGAGGCCTAAACCAAGTTCTTCAAACAAAATGCCGTAACATTGCCAAGGCAAAGGGAATAACTGTGGTGGAAGATACACGGAAAAGCAAATTCAGTGAGTAGAGAAGTTGTAGCTACTCAGACATGGGAAGGGAAGAACATTCACTGAAGAAGCAGAGTGGAACTCTCCTCCATTTAAATGTACTCACTGACTGAAGTGGGAATCCAGAGGAATTTTCCTTCAGATATAACAATAACATTTTGATATATGGAAATGCTGTCTCCAACACAAAAATAGCTGGTACTTCTCTACTATTCCTGCGTCAATAAAGCTGCTATTGAACCTTTTGTGTTAATTCAAAGATCAGCAAAACTTACTAGGAGCCAGGAATTACTTAATAATAACAGAATAAGTGTGACTAAGTAAAAAGGGCCTAAAAGAGAGCTCAGAAAGCTAAAAATACAATTAAAGAGAGATGATTAGAAACCACTGAATGATATTAAAAAGTGGTGAAGCATTGGTTTTGGAGCAGAAAACCTTTCTGACAGAAATACCAGTATAAGTTTACAAAAGCTGTTTACTACACAAAATGCTGGAAGCATTGATGAAATAGCCAAATTTATGGAATCACTAGAAATTCAGTGCAAGCCAGAAAAATTGTTTGGTGAGAGTCCTCCAAGAAATGCATGCCATTTCTAACTCCTGTTAGTGCTGGGTGCTGTGGGACTTGGAGTTCTGAGCAAGATATAATTAGAAAGCAACACAAGCCTCAGGAGTCGTTCCTCTTTCAGCTATTTCTAAGGGCACCTTTAATTGGCAATATTCAAATACAAACTCCTCCAGATATGACTAATGACACAGTCTTCAACTCTCTCCTAAATTATTCCAAGTTTCTCAGTGAAAGATAATTTTAGTGTGAGCTGGTTATCTCCATTTAGAATAATAAGAGAGCAACTTGGGTAGATTCTGAGCTAAATCTTCTTGCAAACTGGTTTGCAATGAAAGGGAGAGAAAAGTAGCTCATTATCAGCAACAGAAAGACTTTTGGAAAGCTTCAACACATTCATAAGACTCTGAACATGGAAAAAGATGTCCTGGCTAAACATAATTTGTCAAGGATGTCTGACTCTATCACCAGTTTCTACACATAATGAAAATTTACCATTCTTTCATTAGACACTAGAATCAAAAGGATAAGAAAACTTACAACAAATTCCTTATTTTCTAAAGAGCTCTTATGACTACTCAGGATGCAGTGACTTTGAGCAGTAACTTTCTCTTATTGTATATTTATGAAGCAGATTAATTTCCAAAATGCAAATGCATTTCCCCTATCTTGTTTTCCTTTTTGCCATCGGGTAAAATATCTTCTGAATGCCATTTGTTCAAAAAATTATCTCAGACAAACTGAAATTAACACCTGTGGAAACTTCATGCTACCTTAGTATAGTATTTATAATATATAATATAGAGTTTCTGGAGTTGGTGGTATATCCTTCAAAAGGTAAAACACCCCTAGTATTATATGAAAAAACAGTATTATATGAAAAAGTATTATATGAAGTATTATAGGAAAAAACCTACAGTATTATATGAAGTATAATATTATAGTATTATATGAAAATTATATATAATTAATATATATAATATATATATTATAAAATATAATATAGTAACATATGAAAAACTTATAGTATTATATGAAAAAACACATTATTATATGAAGTATAATAATATAGTATATGAAAAAACATGCAGTATCATATGAAAAAGTATTATATGGTGTATTATATGAGAGAAAACCTACAGTACTGTATGAAGTATAATATTATAGTATTATATGAAAATTATATATAATATATTATAATATATATTATAAAAATATAATATTATGGTATTCTATGAAAAAAACCATACATTATTATATGAAAAAGTATTATATGAAGTTTTATATGAAAAACATACAGTATTATATTAAATATAATATAGTATTATATGAAAATTATATATAATTGATATATTATATATATTGTAAAAATATAATATAGTATTATATGAAATACATACAGTATTATATGAAAAAGTATTATGTGAAGAATTATATGAAAACTATATATAATTAATATATTATAAAAATATAATATTATAGTATTATATGAAAAACTTACAGTATTATGTGAAAAAGTATTATATGAAGTATTATATGAAAAAACCATACAGTATTATATGAAGTATAATATAGTATTATTTGAAAATCATATATCATTAATATATAATAAAAAATATAATATTATGGTGTTATATGAAAAAACATACTGTCCTTATTTTAGGTTTTGGCAACATTTTTAAGAAATCTCTGAAAATCTAAATAATAATAATATTAATAATAATTATAATAATAACGTTTTGAACATGTATTTAATATAGACTTCCAGCTGTGTGAGCCCCAGAGTAGTTCAGGAAGCCCCTCTGTGTATGGGCACGTGGGAAGTCACATCCTCCCATCACTGACAAGACTCTGCCTCCTTTTCCCCTTTTCCACAGGAAACCTGAGGAAACACAGCTGGGTCTCTCCCAGTTTTCCCTTCCCCAAGATCTCCCCCGGTCCTTCCTTGCTGACTGCCATAAATGGCTCCTGCAGAAAGGCTGGGAATGGGAATTAGCTCAGAATGCAGCACACAGGCCAGGGAACGTGAATCAGCATCACCCATCCCCCTGCAGCACAGAGCCTCACAATGAAAACCACATGGGAAGTCTAAAAAGTGACAGTCCAGATTAAAAGGATTATTGGACTTTCAAGGAAATTAGGCCTGACCTTTAGGTTTGATTAATTAGGCAATTATTACACACAAATATTGTTTCCAGCTCAAGACCTAAGTATCTCCAAAATATCCAAAGCTGTTATTTTGGTTGAGGTGTGCTTTTAATGGCAACTTATACATTTTAAAGATAAAAAATAATATGAGAAATAATAATTCATAAAATAGGTGCTCATTCTGGTTATCCTTCTCAGTGTAATGAGGTACAATATTCTGATATCAAGGTCACTTCTTTGATTCAGTGGTGTCAAGTGCCTCCAAAATATTGCTAATTGGGCAAATTTATCAACAAAAATCAGCCATTTGTTTTGAATCTTTTTTGTAGTGGGTAGCTCTAGTTGCCAGCAAAATGAGGTCAAAGCCAACAGAGAGGCAATGATGTCTGTATTCCCAGCCTCCACTCATTTAAAAGCTCATCACATTTCTACCTCATCGTGTTTGAAATAGAAATGAATTTCACAAAGTAGATTGAAATCCATGAGCAATTAAAAAAAAATAAAATTGTGAGTGAAATGCTGTTATCACTCTGTTAGGGAACTGGACTATCGTTGCTTCAGTAACACAGCAAAAAATGGTCCCATAATTGACACTGGATAGATAGCTGGAAAGCAAAATAATGAAGTTGCCCAGGGTGAATTTGAAGAAGTGAAGTCTTTTAACTAAAGACAAAATAATTGGAAAGTTTTAGCTAAGAAATAATGTGGAAATGAACAGAACACTACCATAAAAAAAGCTTGTATAGGCTTAGATAAAAAAAAATAGAGCAATTGAGAAGAAGACAGCATTGGTAGTGATTAGAAAAGACAGAAAATTAAAGAAAATGACAAAATGCTATGCACAGATGTTGCCTTCTTTAAAGTCAGAGTTTTCTGTGGAGTTGTATGAAAAGGGAAGTAGAAGTTAGGGTGAAGAAATGAGACCACATCATTGCAGAGGCAACCTGCCTCTAATGAAGAGCAAATCACCTGTGGGTAAATGGTGTCCTCTGGGGCTGGGCTGCACGATGCTCTCTGCACTGTTTTTCACCCATTTTTCTGCTGCATTAAGGGCATGGAAATGTGGCAGGAAATAAACCCTCTTGTGTCCCAGCTGGTCCTTAGTAATCAGAGGGGCTGGGTGTGGCTGCCCTTAATTGCTGATTGTGGTCAGTTTGGCACTGTCAGCCTGCTGGAGTTCAATGAGAATTTGCATATTCACAGGTTTACAATAGTGCGTTCTGCCAGTCCAGTGCTGTAGGTCCTTGCACAAATCTTATGGTTTATTCAAGCAATGGGAAAGAAGATTCAGGAGTACAGAATTCAGGTGAAAAATGCACTAACTTGCAGAGTGTTATTGTGTATGGAGACAGGAGTGACAGAGATATTAGGGATGCACATGTGTACATATGTAAGCATTCAAAGGTCTGCTCCAATATGGTGGAGATGAATTTTTTGGCATCCTGCCAGGACAAAAGGAGACACATTCCACCAGCAGAGGTGTTTCCCCCTTTCTTTTTATTTATTTTTTTTTAAAATCTGTCAGAAATGCAGGCACACCCCACAGGGTGCCCAAGAGCTGTGCCCGTGCATCAGCAGTGTTGGCAGGTGCCAGGCACTGGAATCAGCCCCAAGGCAGAGCAAGGCAGCTGGCCACAAGGGTGCAGTGAACTGTGTGCGTGTATTGCAGCCAAAATCTGGTGGCTTTGAGGTGCAGCTCACCCGGGTTCAGCTGATGGTATTTCTCTGCAATCCTCAGTTGAAACTACTGCCTTGAGTTGCTTAACCTTCAGGAGAAATGGATACATCACTTATTTAGTATTTCTCTTTATTTTTTTTTTTCTGGGAAAATTTCTGGGATCCATAGGTTTTATTTGTTGTCATCTTATTGCAAATGTTCCATACCTTCTCGGTGATTTCTCATGGGCATCGTCTCACATTACTGACTCCTCCTCTCTTCTTCTTCTTTGTCGTCTTCTCCTTCCTTCATTGTCTTCATCTTTTTCTTCTTCTTCATTGTCTTCTTCATCTTCTTCTTCATCGTCTTCTTTCTTCTTTGTCACAGCCAACACACCCCATCTCCCTCCTCACCCAGCTAACCCACTCTCTTACAGCGCTCATCCTCACTGGACACAGCTGTGGCCTGTTAAGGGCAGCCCTGTTTTTCTATTCTTGTAGATGGATTTTTCATCAAAATATGCTGTTAACTCACAACTAATATGTTCTTAGAAGCAATATATACTTTTTAATATATGATCCTTTTATAAAATATACATATAAACCATCAGCAATGCCCAATAAATAAATACCCCAAGTAACACCCAATATATACCAAATTAATATAAAATATACATATATAATAGAAATGTCCTTTCCTACACAAGTTAGGGAAGATCTCAAATAAAATATTCTAAACCTTTAGCTTGGTAATATGCATATCCTATTAGCATCTGACAGTATTTGTTCATTCAGCATTACAATTGATGGAAGGTGGTTTCTAGTGACAACATCATTTGCTCCTCCCCCTGCTCTTCACTCTTTTAAATACCATTTAAATATTTAACGTAATATTTTTTCCTTTGCTGTTTCTATCCCAAGGTTAAAGATTTTTATTTCCATGCAACAACTAAAGATGGACTTTTGAAATAAGCAATGTGGTTGCAAGGATTGCAGCAAGGTTGGATGTACAATTAAGATAATGGTGGCACTATCCATCTGAATAATCATTTAGATGATGATTACTGCATTGGAACATTCTATGAGGTACAGAATAAAAGGAAAATCAAAAGGAATTCCCTTTGAATAAATATTTGGCATGGCTGAGTGCTGCAACAGCATATCTGAATGATAAAAGATGTTCACTAAGCCAAAGCTGTATTCTCTGCTAGAGAAGAGGAGGATTTAATTTGTTGCTTTTTTTCCCCCTCCAGAGCTATATTTTAAATGCAAAATGTTGCTTTCTTGAATGCTCAGTTATTTCTTAAAAGGATATGCTCCAAAAGGAAAATGAAATTCAATCAAATTTACAAAAAAATCTTTCTAACCTTTGTTGTGCCAGGGAATAGAGCAGAAACAAGCTGTTACAAGAGAGGATGCTCTGCACAGGAGGAACACAGCTTTGGGCTGATTGTCCCAAGGCAATGAAAAGTGCTGTGAGGCAGAAGGCTGCTGTGTTTGATTTCTTGGCTATTTGGGCACACAGACTTCCAGGGCAGGTCTGCACCATTGCCAGGCTGTTGAATTCCCTGATTTGAGTTTGTCAATCCAGCAGATTCACTCTCTCTGAGAAGTGGGACTGCAGCCACATGAACTGCACCTTTCCTCAGGGAGCCAGCTCGCAGCTCCAATTTGGGTGAGCTGGGAGTCACCCAAGTGTCACAGTCAGAAATTACCTGGGATCCTCTAGTGTTTATTACCATAGCATCATCTTTTGCAACCCAACACTTTTCTCAATTACATTTGTAGGTTTTTATCACTCTGAATTTGGATATTTTGATCTTGTTTATTCAAGTAGTCTTAATTTATTGTTTGGTTTGTTGGAGTACTTTAGTGAGGGTTTACTAATCAAATTTCAGGAAGATGCTTGTTAATACAGTAGGTTCAACTTATACTTTAAAGATCTTCTACTTTGGACCAAAGGGTAAAAATGTGCATTGTTTTTTTCATTGTCCTTCCCATTTCACGAACCTTAATGAGGCAGCAGTCTATCCCCAAAGCCCAAATGACATTTTTCTGAAATAGTTCAGGCAAGAATGTATTGAATGTGCA